AATTTTTAAAGAAGAAAAACTATGCAATTTTAACTTTAATTTTAATTTTAAATGTAATTATGTCATACCTATAGGTACTATAGTAATAATTAAAAACTATGCAATTTTAACTTTTTAATCGTAAATGTTTTAAATGTAATTATGTCATACCTATATATACCTATAGGTACTATAGTAATAATTAAATAACATTATGTCAAGCATAAAATTAATTCAAGTTTAATGGAAACAGATAGAAAAACATCGAATTAGGAATAATAATTATTATTGCCATAATAATAATTATTTTCTATGATACATTTTAGGGAACATCTACATATTTTAGCTAAAGAATATTTTTAAACATTTTTGTACCTAATATTTTACCAAAATTAATTTATATTTGCGTCATTTAAATTTGGTCCATTTTTATTTTGTATGAGGTTCTTAATTTTTTTTAGTTTAAAATTTATCCTAAAATTATTGTAAGGCTAAAAACATTGTTAAACTATTTTTTTAACAAGGTTTAAACTAAACTGCGCACCACTCAATGTGTCGCGACCAAAAAGTTCGTTCTTTTTCAAAACGGCATAACTTTTTTGTTTCTTGAACGATTTTATTTTGGTTTGTGATGTCTGCTAGCCTCATCCTCTGGCAATTTATACTATAGGTATAAAGCTGGTCAAGTAAATTTCCTACAGGGTGATATGTTAAAGGTGAAAAATTTCAATTACTTTATCCAAGCCCCGTTTGAAAAAAAATAATTTTTTTTTGTTTTTACTTTGAAATAATGAAGTATTATGTGTTACCTTGAAACGTTTTTCAAATTTTTCGAATTGGAATCTTAGCAACGAAAATATGATTTTTTTTCCAAAAGAGTACATTTAAGGGCCTTTCAGAGGGCCTAAGCTAAGACCACTTTTTGAAAATGAAATTTTTGTGAAAGTTTGCAAAAACTAAACTTAAACCGATATTTACTTTCGTAATATGTTTTCTTCATAATTTTGACCTCCTGATTGTGATTCAGTTGTCAAATTTAAGTTTCAGATAAAACCAAAATCAAAAAGAATCAAAATTCGAAAACAATTCCCGGCTGTTAAATGTGTCAATAAAATCCCTGGTTTTTACTGTTTTTTTACATATCGTAAATGAGTATTTAAGGGACCACCATATTGAGAAAATGAATTGGCCACCTTTGTCTCCGGATATGAATCCTATTGACCATGTGTGGAGCAGGATAAAATTGAAGATGAAAGAGAGGGAAGGAGGCATGAAAAATTTGGATGAATTGGTAAATGCTATTCAGGAAGAATGGGGTAGAAATTTCTAAGGAACTTGGTCGAGGGAATGCCCAGGAGGGTTAACGAATTATTACGGCTTAGGGGAGGGCCAACGAAATATTGAAAGGTATTATTGTTATTGTTTGTTACATTTTTCTGTTGAATGTTGAAGTTTTGATTATGATTATATCTACGCATACAATTTTCAAAAATGAACAAAAATATTTTTATTTAACTTTATTACCAATTAGGTAGGTACTTATCAATGCCCAAGCAACAATTTAAGTATTTGTTACGTATATGGGACTATTGAAGAAACTTCAAAGTGTTTTGCGACAGTCGCCGGTCTCTTTATATTACTCTTTCATTACTACGTTACGACTAAAGTGGGGAACAATTATTGAGTTCCAAAAAGGTAGCAAATATGTCACTAGCTACCAACCCTGCTACTATTTGGGACGTAGCTGCTACGTTACTAGAACGTTCCAATATCGTTGCTAGAGCGTTATAATTACTTTTATTATTTGTTTTTACTTCTATATTAACTGTCTTTGTCAAACTTATATTAGATTATACTATCCCTCCTTTTTTAAATGGAACCACTACGGACTTGGCTTTTCAATGTCGTCGTTTATTAAATATGTACCTACTGGTAGTTTATAACTTCCAGAATAACAATATAATGTTTAATTAGACAGGTAGATTTATAAACCCTTTAAATTTTACTGTTGAACTTATGAATTTAGTTTTTGTAAAATAAATGCGCTTCATCAATATTTAAGTATAAACAAATTATTTATTTAGTAATGTTTATAAATAAAAAAATCTTAATATTTATTATTATTTTTTTTATTTAATTATTAATACCGTCTATTACCAATAATATTTCTATTTATTAAAAAGTAAACAACCATTTACAAACAATTAAAATAATTTATTATTTACATTACCACGTGGTACTGTACAGTAAAAAATGGCCGATAAGAAGCATTTTCCTTTGAAGTAGTTTTCGCTACTTTAAAGTTTTTTTCCACTTTACGGTTGTTTTGGTTAGTACCATAAACGTTCCAAATACTAAAATAATAACTTTTAAGTTATTAACTTTGTAGTTTTTAACTCATGTTCCAGTTTCGAGATTTTAACTTGCAAAGGGACTACAAAGTAAAAATAATTATAATGTAATCTTTAGGTAGCAACCGAAAGTAACTGCTACAAATTAAATTTACTTGAAAGTTTTTTTTACTTATAACATCTTTTTTAAAGTTGCAAAGTCTTCTTGGGGGCAACCAAGTTTTACTTAAATGTTTATTACTTTATAGTAACAATTTAAGGAAAAATTAAGTTTCTGTTACAAAATATTGCTATTTAAAAGTTAGAATTACTTTTAAGTAAAAATTAAAGTAGCTGTTTAGTATACTTAACTAATTTAAAGTTATCACCACTTTGGCAATGGTTTTTGGAACCAAAAATGCTGCTTGGGTGATGTTATCACTACTGTGCAATGTAAATTATGTAACATTATCCTAACCACTCAAACAAATTGCAGTAATTTCGCCCAAAAAATGAATCTCTAAATGGCATTTTTATCATAAATAAGCAATAAACACGACAGCAATCGGATTTTATTAAGACATTTAACAACATGGAATTGTTTTCGAATTTTGATTCTTGATGATTTTGGTTTTATCTGAAACTTAAATTTGACAACTGAATCACAATCAGGAGGTCAAAATTATTAAGAAAACATGTCACGAACGAAAATATCGGTTCAGGTAGTTTTCGCAAATTTTCACCAAAATGTCATTTTGAAAAAGTGGTCTTTGCTTAGGCCCCTCTGAAAATAATGGAAGTTTGTTGCTTGTCGCTTGTTCAGAATTATTCAAGGAACAATCTTTTACCATCTTATTTTCTTGTTCTTAAAAAGACTATATATTGCCTACCAAAAAGCCTTAAATGTACTTTTGGAAAAAAATCATATTTTCGTTGCTAAGATTCCAATTCGAAAAATTTGAAAAATGTTTCAAGGTAATACATCATTATTTCAAAGTAAAAACTAAAAAAAAGAATTATTGTTTTACAAACGGGGATGAAGTTATTGAAATTTGTAGGAAACTTACTTGAAGAACCGTGTGCTTAATATCTATAGCATGAATTGCCAGGGGATGGGGTTAGCAGACATCACAGACCAAAATAAAATCGTTTAAGACCCAAAAAAGTTATGTCGTTTTGAAAAAGGACGTACTTTTTGGTCGCGACACATTGAGTGATGCACAGTTTATTTGATTTTATTGTTTTATTTTTAAATTTGCCATTTCTCATTTATAAGACGACAATCATTTTTATTAACATTTACTTTTTACCTTTAGGTACCTATATAGATATAAAATTTAAAAAAATAATTCAACTTTTTTATAAACATATGTGGTGTATCAAGGCACCACAGGTTAATAAAAGAAGAGATTGTACTTACAGTTAGATATATATTCTTTATTTTTTTATCTATGTGTAATTTAATTTAAAATTCATCTAAATAAATATCTTTAAAATCTTATTTCCTCCATATCCATGAATATCTTCTTATATTTTCTTAATTTATTATCTTTCTTCTTATTTCATTCTTCTTATTTTATTCGTGTATTTTTCTTATATTTTTTCTTGTATTTCTTCTCGTATAATATTCTTTTATATTATCTGTATTTTGTTTATGTAGGTATGTTATATATTATTTATTTTATTTATATTTTATGATGTATATTAAATTATGTAAATTTTATGATTATGATTTTTTATATTATTATTATGTTATGTTATTTTTGTTATCTATTCATGGATAACTATTTTTTAATAGATATTATTGATAGTATTAAGTTGAGACTCTCAACTAACAATGACACAAAATAAAGGTTATGTAACCAAAGTCACATCGACAACTTAAACCAACCCATGGCGCAATACTTGGCGCCAACAATATGTACAATAATTATACTATAATTCTAATTAATGTAGGTATAGTTGTCGCGGCGAATGTTTCAAATTGCGTCATTCTGAACCAAGCAAAGACATTACAATTATTGTTGTTTTCTTTTACGTATATAATCCAAGGGACCGCTAGGTTAACCGTATGTCGAGAAATGACGCAATTTGAAACATTCGCCGCGACGACTATACTAAATTTAAAAGGAAACGACGTACGCGTCATCGATGACGTCATAATTTTGCGCACTGGTACCAACACTAAATGTATAAAACGAAGTCTGTAATTGAATATTTTAATGCATTTTAAACAACTTTAGTTGGCAGCAATTGCAATGTTGTCATGTTTATATTAAAATTTTGCTTAATAAAATGACGCAAAGAAAAGGAAATTGACGTTTTAGAATTTTGAAGCTGTCAGTTGTGTTTTGAATATTTCGTTTAATTCGTGTATAATTTCGTTTATTTTGTTTGTTGTTTGTGTTATTTTATATCGTTTTAGTTTTCATTGCCGTTTTTGTGTTTGTTATATATATAGGTATCGTTTTTTTTTTGTTTTTACCAATTGGTTAATGTTTACAGTGATCGGGACATACGGTGCTTTGTCAGGAGAATTTTTCCTTAACAATTGTTAAGGTTAAGTGGAATAGCCCTAGCTAGACTTTGCCTCGTTAAATAAAGACGTTTTATTATTATTATTATTATTATTATTATAATTGTATAACATTAATACAGGTAAAATATAAAAACTATGCAAAGTTTACTTACTCGAAATGTCGTTTGATAATTAAAAAACGTGAAATGTTAGGTAAATGATACGCTACTGACTACCTAACCTAACGTTTTTTAACCGGATGTCGAGATATCGGTTTTTGACATTCGACATTGATAACGCAATTTGAAACATTCGTCGCGACGACTTAAAGTAAGAAATATTTAGATACCTACCTACTTCATATTTCTTATCTATAGTACCTAAACACCTCTGTTATGAGAATTTTAAATAGTTTTTAATAACCATATACCTATTTACGTATATTTAATCTAATTATTTATATTACAGTTACCAATTCCAATAATGTTATTTTTGACTTTTCTTTTTCAGAAAGTGATTATCTCTCACGCCGCAGTATAATTATGGAAATGTAAAAATAAATTATTCTTTTGTAAATAAGTATTGCTTGTTTTTGTTATCATTACAATCCTAGACCAAGGATTACAATAAAATTGTGTTGTCAATTTATTTGTCTTATTTAATTATGAGCGAAATCTACAGGTAAATTCGCGACGTCAGCAAATAGCCAAAGGTTACCAGTAAATTCCACAAACTTAAAAATGCAATGGTAAAAATTAATAAAAATATAAAATACTCTTTAAATTTTGCTTGGAAATACCTAAAATACATATTTATCAGAATCACTCTATTTAAATAATTACTTTATTTAGAACGCTAGAAATTATTGAAACTAATATTTGCAACTAAATTAACTGCGTAAATCGTTATTAAAAACCACAGTGGAACATTCCTTTGATCTTGTCTAGAAAATACGATATGCCATGAATAAAACCAGCTCGACTTCATCTACTACGCCGTGTCGTTAATAAACGGTTTATTTATAAGTTTCTATGGTGAATTTTTTGCAAAATTTTAATTATATTTGGAATAAATGTCAGTAAAAAAAGATTTTCGTATATTTGGAGAATAATTAAAATGATTTGAAGTATTTTTACCTTGGTGGTTAAAGTGGAACTACTTTTTGGTTTCGGGCGTAGGAATCAACATTTTCGAGCGAGGAGGGGGTATATAAAGCAGCCGCGCCCTGTTCAAAGCGTCATTCGTTTAATAGTTGCTTTGTGAGGTGTACTGCTGTGGTATTTGTTCCTGTTCCTTGAGATTGAGAAACTCCTGTTCAACTTCAACAAGACGTCTACTGGTTAAAGATTGAACGAATAAAACAAACGCAGGTGTGTTTTTAAACCAAAAATAACAAGCACTACTTTTTCTGAAGAGATTTTTGTAATACCTCAATAAAATGGGTGTAGTATTAAACGCTAGAGAGCCGCTGGTTAAAACCAGCGAACTAGTAAATTGGATCACCCATATGAAAGTAAAGAAAATGTCGTTTAAACGTAAAAATCTCTTCATTGAAGCCGTGTTGTCCTCAGCGCTCACGCGGGCCGAGTACGAACTGCGCGTGAAGCAAAAACAGCGCAGACTCAAGTGGCAGTTTCTAAAATCGACCCTCGAGTCACGTGAGGGTCACTTAGCCAAGGACGCGTGGAGTCATCACGAAGAAATTCATAGTTTAGATCGTTTCATGTCGCAATTAAAGGATGTAAAACCTATAGAGAGATGATTTTTATGATTGTTATTTTTTTGTATTTTGGCTGTGTAAAACGATGTGATATTATGTAGAGTTTTTCTATTACAGTAAGTTGGGAGGTCCGACTGTTCCAAAGCAATCCAGGGATTGGATTTTTCGCCACTTGGTTTGTAATGTATATTTAATTTTAACTCTAATAACTTTTTCTCAAATATTGTTATGTAAATAAAGTGATATTAGATTTTAATTTAAAATAAATCGAAAATAACTTACTTTAGTTTTTGTTGTTTATCATTATTCCTAATGTTCCTTTATGACTAATTTGTTTTGAATTTACATGTATGCGCAAGAAGTTCCTGACTTATGGTACGAGTACCATATTGTTTATTGTTGTTTATCCCCCAAAAACGAGGTACGCAAAAGCACCGACACAATGGCAGCAAATCTCCATTTGATGAGGACGCATCTCTTGGAGAGAAATTTACTCTTGCGAGAACAGGGCAGTGCTGCACTCAAAAAACGGTAAAGTTAACTATTTCTCTTAAGGACGCTTCAATTTCATTACAAGCAGTGAAATTGAAGCAATTCGTAATACCGTTGATAACTACTGCGCAGGGTAATCAACGGTTATACGAATTTGTAGCTTTTGAAATAAAAAACTTTCTATTATTTTTTTTATTGCACTCGAATTGTTTCCTTCCTTCAGGTTGACCACTACAAATTCAAAAAACGTATGTGGAGGTCCTTAACAATCGGTGAGGATTCTCTCCGCCAATACAATCAAAGAAACCTGTTAAATGGTAAAAACTGGCATGTGTAACTCTTAAGAATTTAATTTAACTTTAATCACATTTGGACATAACTGTTTTTCCCCAATCGAAATAGGCGTATTTTCCAGCAATAAAATAAAAGTTTATACATGGAGATTCCACGCGGTTTAGGATGGAGAAAAAAGTGAGAGCAGGTATTTATGACTAGTTCTCTAATATAAAAAGTTTCTATAACGGGTTAATGTTTATTTTAGACTGTACCAAGGTTGTAATATTAATTGTCACCAACTGGGACATACTACTATGAGTACTATGTTGGAAAAGTTGGTCTAAAAAAAACCGCTTCTATAGAAGCGACATCATACACAACTGCTTTTCTCTAAGCAAAAAACTGCGTCTCTAAGCAAAAAAGGATCGCTATGGATTTACTATCGGTGCAATTTAAATTATATCAGCTGGGACATGGTCTAAATCTATGTTGGAAAGGTTGATAATACTTCTATAGAAGTATCCCGTCATTTATATTTATAAAGGTAAAACCTGACATTTTAAAGGTTCGTATTTTCCATATACGTTCAAGAATTGCATTTTTTTTGTTTTGTGTGCTTTCTTTTAGATATAACAATCATCTATTAGAGCCCACACATTTAAGGCAATAGCGCAATTTCCATATAATTTTTTATATTTAAATCCTGTCATTAGGCGATAAAACAACCATAAATACCCAGAAACTTATGTCTTCAGGAACTTCTTAAATTTACATAAAGTCAACCCTCATACAGTCAAAGCTTAGCAGAATTCAACTTCGTAAGGCAAGATAATAAAGTTGACAGAACAGCATATTCCACGCACCGTATTGTCAAGAATTGAACATATTTCTAATATTTGACAGTCAAGTAAACAGTAAGTCCTTGAAATAAGTTGAAACGTAATTTATATTCTTCAGGATCTAAGTTTTAATCTAAAACCAATTAAATACCGAATAAACAAAAACCAAACGTTCAAGATCTTCAAGAGTCTTCATGATATGCAGCAAGAAGAAAAATTAACTATTTTTTTAGATAACTATTTTATTTATTTGCACAAGAACAAATATTAGGTTAAAACTATTTTTATTGAGTAAATCTTTTTCAAACGTTTAGGTACAATTCTTTGTTATTTTCCAAACAATGAACCTATTTTTTAGCTAAAAATCATAATTTGAATGTCTAAAAAACAAGAATTAAACTACTATATCAGTTTTGGCAATTTATAGTCAATACCATGGAGCCTACACAAGGAGTCCGAACTTCATGTATACAAAAGTCATTCTAAGATAAGAGGGCGCTGGTGTTCCATTGATTTTTTTATTTGTACCGATACAGCAGCCGTCAGTACGTATCGACAATCGATCATGAAAAAACAAGACCCAAGTTGTGCAATTTATCAATTGCCAAAACTGATATTTATTTAGGATATCACCAATACAAGAACTACCGAACAAAATCTCGGTTATCACCAGCCTAAAATGTTTTTCCAAAGGTAATTCGTAAAATATTTCGAAAACGTTATATTTTTGTTTAGGTCCAACTATAAATTATTTTAAATTTTCCAACAATTATTGTTTTGCAACCAATTTTATGAGCTAATAGTAGAAAGGAGGCGATGAAAATAGATATCATTCACAATTCATCTTTAAACCACATTCTCATCCTGACCGAGCATTCATCTGAGGTAAACGTAGTTTGGTAAAAACGTATATTTTGTTTAGGGTCTCACAAGTAGAATTAACAATAAATTTTGTTGCCTTAACCTTCTTTTGACGACGATTAGAACCAACAGAAAATGTTTTCTAAAATAAAGATAATTTGTTTATTATTCCAAAAAAATGCAAACAAATTTGTTACCAGGATTTCCATAATATTGATGTTGGACATGGTCACTTCCACATATTCATGGAAGAAACACACTTCGGAATCTTAACATCCAGTGTTCCAAATCGTTTTAACGAAACAAATCTAGGATCAGTTTTTATTTACATATAAAGACAAATTCAGTAGTATTTTCAAAACAAAAAAGTTTTTTGTCAGAAAAATCCCGTGATGATTTAAACTCAAAATGACGACCACGAGTTCAAGACCTTAAAGCGAGTAGTATTCCCTTCATTAGAGAAGTTTACAAATTGAGAGGTAATTTTATTTTTTATAAAATCAAAAGTATCTTTTATCAGGAAAACGTCCAACCAATTGATGAACAGTAACAATAATAAAACAGAAGATCCTACTCGGTTAAAAAAAAGAAGCTTGCGCACTTGGAAATGATTAAAGGTAACTTTTTTTCACATTTAAAAGTTTGTTTGTCAGGAAAACGCCAAGCTACATTCCACTGCACAGTGTTTGTTCCATCAAAAAAGTACAAGGGCTTGTACAGATTATGTACGTGGTATCCGAACATCTTCACGAGTATTTTTTTAAGATAAGGTAAATTTTATGTTATGCAAAACAAACAATATTTTTTGTCAGGAAAATCCCGAGACTGATAAACGAAAATGCGTTGCCTTAATTAAAGAAATTGTTTACAGTTCATTAAAAAGGTAATTTTTAATATTTTCCACAATCAAAAGTTTGTTTATCAAGAAACTTCCAACCAAGTGCCATATATAACATTGACAAACCATAGAGAACCGTCTGCAATTAAAACCATATTTATATAAAGAAGCTTGCGCATTACTTGGAATTGATTAAAGGTAAAGTTTGCTATTTTCCACAATCAAAAGTTTTTTGTCAGGAAATGCCATGCTCCACTGCAGTGTCCATCCAAAAACCCATATGCACTCCTTTACGTGATCTTCGATTTGAAATTTATCAGGAAACTACCATGCTACATTTCACTACACATATTGTGTTCTATAAACCAAAATAAGTGACCATAAGATGTATAATGTGGTGAACGTTGTATTTTTATGGATGCTTTTTTCAGTCAAGTAAACAGTAAGTCCTTGAAATAAGTTGAAACGTAATTTATATTCTTCAGGATCTAAGTTTTAATCTAAAACCAATTAAATAACGAATAAACAAAAACCAAACGTTCAAGATCTTCAAGAGTCTTCATGATATGCAGCAGGAAGAAAAATTAACTATTTTTTTAGATAACTATTTTATTTATTTGTACAAGAACAAATATTAGGTTAAAAATATTTTTTTTTGAGTAAATCTTTTTCAAACGTTTAGGTACAATATTTTGTTATTTTCCAAACAATGAACCTATTTTTTAGCTAACATTCAGAGGACTAAAAATCATAATTTGAATGTCTAAAAAACAAGAATTAAACTACTATATCAGTTTTGGCAATTTATAGTCAATACCATGGAGCCTACACAAGGAGTCCAAACTTCATGTATACAAAAGTCATTCTAAGATAAGAGGGCGCTGGTGTTCCATTGATTTTTTTATTTGTACCGAAACGCTACCGATACAGCAGCCGTCAGTACGTATCGACATTCGGTCATGAAAAAACAAGACCCATGTTGTGCAATTGCCAAAACTGATATTTATTTAGGATATCACCAATACAAGAACTACCGAACAAAATCTCGGTTATCACCAGCCTAAAATGTTTTTCCAAAGGTAATTCGTAAAATATTTCGAAAACGTTATATTTTTGTTTAGGTACCTACAACTATAAGTTATTTTAAAAATCACTATCAAGAAAATGCTCCAAATGCAGGACTTTTAATTCTCCAACAATTATTGTTTTGCAACCAATTTTATGAGCTAATAGTAGAAAGGAGGCGATGAAAATAGATATCATTCACAATTCATCTTTAAACAACATTCTCATCCTGACCAAGCATTCATCTGAGGTAAACGTAGTTTGGTAAAAACGTATATTTTGTTTAGGGTCCCACAAGTAGAATTAACAATAAATGTTGTTGGCTTAACATTCTTTTGACGACGATTAGAACCAACAGAACATGTTTTCTAAAATAAAGGTAATTTGTTTATTACTCCAAAAAAATGCAAACAAATTTGTTACCAGGATTTCCATAATATTGATGTTGGACATGGTCACTTCCACATATTCATGGAAGAAACACACTTCGGAATCTTAACATCCAGTGTTCCACATCGTTTTAACGAAACAAATCTAGGATCAGTTTTTATTTACATATAAAGACAAATTCAGTAGTATTTTCAAAACAAAAAAGTTTTTTGTCAGAAAAAATCCCGTGATGATTTAAACTCAAAATGACGACCACGAGTTCAAGATCTTAAAGCGAGTAG